TCGGTGGTGCCCCAGTTCCAGGTGGTCCCCCGGGGGGGACCCCATCAAAATGGAGCCCTGCCACGAGAGCTCTGGGCCACTGGTTCCTGGGACAGCACCAGCCCCCAGCAGCCGGCTCAGATCTGGACCCAGGCCAGGGCAGGGCGGCAGGAACAGGACAGGGGCCTGTCTCCTGCGGGGCACAAACTCTGACCCAGCTCTGAGGATCCTCCCAGCTCCCCTCACTCACCAATGAGGTTCGGCACGAAGAGGAAGATGTTTTCGTCCTTCATCATCTCTGTGGGTGCGGGGTCTGCTGCCTTCCCCCTCAGACAGCCCTGGGGTCCCCCCAAGCCAATATACCAGCCCTGTCCCCTGCACCAGCCCTGGGGGCCCCCCCAGCCAATGCACCAGCCCTGCCCCCCTGCACCAGCCCTGGGGTCCTCCCCAACCAATGCACCAGCCCTGCTGTTGCGCTGAGCGAGAAGAACAAATGGCCGTTACTCCTTTAAGATCCCCGGGACTTTTAACACCCCCCCCCCGCTCCCGCGCCCGCGCCCCTGTTGGGCTGTACCAAGCTGTCCTGAGGGGGAGGGCGGTGGCGGGGACGGGGTTTATGGGGGCGGCAAGATAGTGAGCCCCATTCGGGAGGAACCATTTCATTTGAGGGGGTTCCACCCTCCTCTCAAGGACGGGGGGGGTGTCATGCTCCAGCCCCCAGTTGGTTCAGTCCGGGATGTTCCATTCCCCCACCCCTTGCTGTGGCCGGGTTGGCGTCGCTCAGGTTCAGCCATAGAGCACCTGGCGGTCTGCGGGCTAGAGCGTCTCCGTCCGGAGAAGGTCGCCATTTTGAATCGTCGCCACTTCCGGTTCCTGCACTCAAGTCATGTGACACTCAGTTACCCAATCGGGGCAGAGACGCATGAAGTGACGCTCGCAACGAGCTTCCCACAATCCCCTGGGACTGACATGGCCCCTTTCCCACAATCCCTTGCGGCTGGTACAGCCCATTTCCCACAATCCCACGGGGCTGACATTGCTCATTTCCCACAATCCCACGGGGCTGGTGCGGCCAATTTCCCAGAATGCCCCAGGCCTGGCATGGCTGACTTCCCAGAATCCCCTGGGCTGGGCCGGATTCTGGCCCCTTGCCAGGCCGAGGCCGGGGTGGGGCCCCGAGGGCCCTGGCAGCCTGGCTGGGGTCCCTCTGAGCGGGTCTCAGACGGGTGTTTCCCCCCATGCTCCACCCCAGAGGCGGCTGCATTTCAGCTGAGCTGGCCAGACGCCCCAGGACAGACAGAGCTGACAGTCCGTGGCAGGGTGGGGGTGGATTCAAGACCCGTGTTTATTACAGTCTCGGCCCGTGCCGGGGGGGACACGGGGCCGGGCTAGGCGGTGTCCTTGGCCGAGTTCTCCGATTGGTCGGTGTCGCTGTCCAAGTTCTCGCAGGGGGGCCGGTCCCGACGGGTCACTTTGCTCAGGAATTTACCGGGCCCCCCTTGGCGAGAGGGGCAGTGGATCAGGGGCTGTGGGGCAGACGGGGGGAAGGGGTGAGAACAGAGAGTCCCACATCAAGGCCTGGCCCTCCTACTGCCCACTAGCCCCTCCCACTGCCCCCTAGCTCCTCCTCTCCTTGCTCACAGCCCCTCCCACATCCCTATGCCCCTCCCACTTCTGCATTAGCCCCATCACAGCTCAATACCCTTCCAACTTCCCCAGTACCCCCCCCTCCTCACTATCCCCGCCCAGGGCCGTCTAGCCCCGCCCACTCCCCCTTTAGCCCTGCCCATGGCCCCCCTTGCCCTCTCTCCTCTGGCGAGGGGGTTACCTGGATGGAGCTGAGCTCCTGCTCGGAGACCAGGGGGGACAGAGCCTCCAGGCTGCCAGGTGGGGAGCGGCGCCTCTGGGTCACAAAGGCCCCCCCCATCTGCTCCTCCAGCCTCACCGCCTCCACCTGGGGGGACATGTCAGCCAGACGGGGCAGCGGGGGCAGGTGGGGGAGAAGGTTATGGGGGGAGGAGCGTAGCGCGGGAATGAGGGGTGCAGCTTTCAGTCCCCCCACTAGAAAAAGTGTCCCAGTGCCACTGGGAGGGGGGGAAGGGCTGGTACCTGTCTGTGGCGGGAGGGGTCACGTCCCCGGACCTGCAGCGACCTCCCCTCCTCCTCCTCGGCGCCCTCCTCGTCCTGCGCCCAGACGGGACAATGAGGGGCGTGGACGGCTGCACTCGGACCCCTCCCCTCCAACGTCACCCCTCCCCTGCACCCGGCCCCCTCCCGTCCCCCATCGACCCCTCCTCTCCCCTGGCACCCCTCCCCTCCCCCATCAAGCCCTTCCCTCCAAC